CAGATTCAAACCAAACATCCCCTAAATTCCGTAGATTTATTTTCCTTACAAATTATGCAAAAGATTACCTTGCTCTCCCCTTATTCACCTATTTTTTATTTTCCCTGTTTCAGGTACTGCAAAGAAAAGCAAGACTCGGAAAATGTTTGTGCTTGCGATTCCTCATGTAATTTTTACCAAATTTTACATTGAGCAAGTAATATTATGCTTTTCAAATTGTATCCTAAAAAAATCATCTCAAATGAATTGGTAAATTTACACACCACATATTTTATGAAAAAATTGATTTAGGGGCCTACAGGGTGTGATGTATGAATGTATCAACTCATTTGGAATAAATTTTTTGAAATACAATTTAGAAAGTATTACATTACTCATTTTGCAACAACATGGTAGCTGGACGGTGAAGCTTATGTTGATAGATATGCTTACGCTTGAACTCTATTCTTTTGACTCAAACTAAGCATCCGCCATACCTCAACCCATTTGAGCACTTGCTCGATCTAGTTTCGGTGTAAATGATTTATCTTTGACCAAATTGACGAGAGAATTAGTCAAGAAAAGAATAGTTGTTAGTTACTCAGCAAAACCAAGAAATCAGATACAAAAGTTTTATCCCGAGTGTCATCAAGGATTCTCGCCCCTTCCTTGGGGACAAAGACTGAATCAACATATGAGGGGGAGGTCATTCTACTCCAAAAGCATCTATCAGCATGATCTATCTATTCCATAATCCACATAACATAAAATATGTGAATTTTTTTCCTTGTCCAATTTAAATTTCAAAAGAAATAAGCAGAAATTGGATTCTTTTTATCATTTAGTCAGGTGACATTAAAAAAGCAGGTAAACAAAGGATTGTAAATTAAGTTGGATAATGGCTGAAACACCTAAATATTAGGCTCCTAAACTGACCATCTTTTCTAACGATAGAAATTCGGCAACCGAAAAGGGCATAGGCCTCTGGCCATTCGGTGAAATTAGAAGGAAGAGAAGTAAAAGATTCAGGTCAGACTGAAGGCACTGAACATTACAGACATTTTGTTCTTGGGGATACAAATTGGTTCCAATGAACTCTGAGTGATGTTTTGCTTCTTTAAGATAAACTTCTTTGTTTAAACAATGGGTTTGCCAGTTTTTTTCTAAAGAACTGCCTGAAAAGGCAGTGGGATAAAACTAGCACAGGGGCATGAACAATGCACGTTTCAGCAAGTATAAAGATGATAAATACTGATAAAAAATTTTCTTCTTTTTTTTTTTTTTCCAATTTATAAGAACCAAACATACTTACATTTGATAAATCATAGTGCAAATCCATAACAAGGTTTTCATTTTGATAAGCTCTTATATTGAAGGTTCAATGTATGACCACAGAAAAAATATTCACCACAACAGATATCAACTTTTTCTTTTGGATTACTGATAAAATGGCAGGCTCTCAAGAATGACAACAGAATAATAGCTTCTTTTCAGGCACAAGTTATTATATAAATCTTATATTGGAAAGTCCCTGAATCAATTTAGAAAATCAAAAGCACTTGGGAGTAGTTGAATCTTATAAAAAAAAACTCAGGAGTAGATGAATACTTCAATAGACTCTTGTGAAAAGTATGACCATATGATTATTATTTTTTGGCCTATAGGCTAAAACACAAACAAAAATACCTCATAATTGACAATTGGATGCTAAAAAACTATGGTGTAATCCCATCTGAAACTGTTTGTTTTCTTTATTTGGGATCTCTTCAGGCTTAGTCAACCATCTTTAGTCCGAAAAGTAGGCAAGCTCAAGGCACATGTGAGCAGAAGGGGGGGCACAGACAGCGAGAGGGAGACTGCTACTTATTTTTGACAAATGTTTTTTTTTTTGTTACAGGTTGAAAGAGATCTGTGCATGGGAGGGCAAAGTTTCAGAACACAAGACAGTAGTACACTATACAGGAGAACAAAAACATACCCTTTCAATTTTCACCGCAGAATTCCTAACATTGAACAGCGGTCTGACTCAAAGAAAACAAAATTTGAGTATACATTCATCACAATTCCAAAGAATTTGGGGAAGAATATGACGTGTATATCTTATATCAGTTTCAAAGCCATACAATATAATGACCCTAGAATCACGTAAAAGGGACTTGTACCAGAATATCATAAAATGGGTGTATTGGTACTGAACTCGAAATCTTCATCCAAATTGATTGGGCTTGCAAGATACACATTCTGTCCCTCAACATATTTCGAGTCTCAATTTAATCACCATCATTTACCAATCAAGAATCAACTTCAAATGATTAGTAAAAAAGATCNTCAAATTGATTGGGCTTGCAAGATACACATTCTGTCCCTCAACATATTTCGAGTCTCAATTAATCACCATCATTTACCAATCAAGAATCAACTTCAAATGATTAGTAAAAAAGATCAATAGGAAAGAAAACCGATAAAGCCACGTCCCATTAACAATCACCATCAATATGCGACATCAAAGAAATGTATTTTTCTAGCAGCTAATAACTGATGAATAACAAAGCCACTATTCAAAGCTTTTTGGTGTTTGTTGGTGAGATGAACAGAAAATTACAACAGCACGCAAGATACTATAATATCAGCTTTCAAATATTACCAATCAGCAATTNACATCAATGTACGACATCAAAGAAATGTATTTTTCTAGCAGCTAATAACTGATGAATAACAAAGCCACTATTCAAAGCTTTTTGGTGTTTGTTGGTGAGATAAACAGAAAATTACAACAGCACGCAAGATACTATAATATCAGCTTTCAAATATTACCAATCAGCAATCAGTTTCTACCAAGCGGCAGTGATCTGCAAGAATATGTCTCTTTAAACTCAGACTTCCNGAACAGAAAATTACAACAGCACGCAAGATACTATAATATCAGCTTTCAAATATTACCAATCAGCAATTAGTTTCTACCAAGCGGCAGTGATCTGCAAGAATATGTCTCTTTAAACTCAGACTTCCTCGATGAGGTAAAAATAGAAGCATAAACCTCCTTATTAGCATTAGGTGGTGCCACTGCAGCTGCCTTAAACCGCTTCGCCGTCCCATTGCTCTGACCATTAGCCATAACCCCACCATTAGCAACCTTCCTATTTCCTTCTAATTTTGCAGAAACCTTCTCCACCGCCTTACCCTCAATCCCATGCTTCTTCCCACTCAACCGAGACAACTCCATACCCTCCTCCCCATTCATAATCACATCTCCATTCTTCACCTTCTTCTCTTTCTTCACCTTAATCTTCCCCTTTTCCTCCTCCATTCTTTCTTTCAACGCTGCAATCTCTTCTTCACTCCCATTAATAACAATCTTGTCCTCAATCTCTTTGTGACAAACCAAACAAGTCGAGGACTTTACCTCTTTCAAAGCTTTAGCACTCAACACATGCCCACAAGGCCTCAGAGCAAAAAATTTATACTTCCCATTAAACTCCAACCCTGCTATCGGACACTGAAACCTCGTTCCACCAATCACATCCCCATTTTCCTCCAACCCTGGAATCAATTCCAATTCCACCATTATCATATCCTTCAATCCCTTCACATACCGGAATTGTTTAGGCAGTTTCTTACCCAACAAAGCCTCAACCAACGCCTCCTTATTGAACAAATTCCCAAGCTTATCCACCACAACTGGATGTTTCAGTGGCTCATTCGACAAAGCGCAATTTAACCATTTCGACAACCTTATCTCATTCGGGTCAACCTTATCGGGCTTTTTCGTAGCATACATATTAAGATAACAGTCGCGGGACTCGGCTCCTGTGGCGCCTCCATCGCCACCGCCGCCAGGGAGGCGAAAACGAAGAATTAAAGTAGATAGAGACGTGATTTGGGAATTTCGGAGGATTGTGGAGTCTGGGAGGGTTCGGCCATTGAAAGTGAAGAAAAGGGAATTGATCAGGGTTTGGGATTTGGGAAATAGGGAGAGTTTGAGGTCTCGGAGAGTGAGATTAGGGTTTTTATCAAGGGTTAGGGCACAAGTTGGGATTTGGAGGTCTGGGGATTGAACGAAAATTTGGAATTGTTTGGTTTCGGGATTCATCTTCATCCCTAGGGTTTCTGAACTGGTGAATTGAAAATCGCTCTGTATACTTTGTGGATGATGAAAGATGAAATGAAACTGAGCGTAACTGATCGAATTGAGACAGACTCTCTTTCTTTCGTTGGTGTATGTATGTATTTATGTATGTAATGTATATCTGCTGTGCAAATTTAATACTTATATGGTTTGACCAATATTTGGTGCACCGACATTGAAGGGTACAACAAGTGACCTGGATTTGCAAATGCAGTGGCACGTGGCAGGACACTACTGGTTCCTTTTTTCTTTTGCCCTTTCTGCCTTCGGTACCTTATTGCAATTTGGAAAATACTTTCGCTAATGTAATATAATATTGGGAAAATTTCACTTTACCCCTTATGGTTTATCACTTTTGCAGATCACCCTTTATTCTTTTAAAATAACACATAATTCTCCTATAGTTGATGGACTAAAATACATCATCACATTTTTCATCCAATTTAGCCACACATACAAGTCATTCACTTAGACCTAACTCGAAGAAAATTTTGGGAGTCGAGTGATTCGCCAACTAGATATGAAGGTTCTATCATCTATCTTCATAGGAGTTTAACCATGAATAATTATTAGTATTCTTTGTTGATTAGACATAAATAACAGAATAATTAATAGAAGAGTTATATTGTAATATTTGTGATTTATTAAGNAATCTTCATAGGAGTTTAACCATGAATAATTATTAGTATTCTTTGTTGATTAGATATAAATAACAGAATAATTAATAGAAGAGTTATATTGTAATATTTGTGATTTATTAAGAGTGTAATATGTGAAATTTAATCTTAAAGAGTATAAAGTGATAATTTTAAAAATCTTTTAGGGTCTAAAATGTAATTCGTCCTTTTTAAAAAAAAAATTTGGAAGGAATTAAACCCTAAAGGGGCAATCAGTAAATTGATCACAATGTTTTAGGGTCATCGCTCCGCTACTATTCTCTCACCCAGTCCGCCGCGAGAATTGAACACTGAGCGAGCACCACGCCGAGCATCTTCGCATCAAAGTGAGCTTTGTATTCTCTCTCTCTCTCTCTCTCACTAGCACAACCTGTGCAGCTCAGGTTGCGATGTGAATGCGGATTTTATGTTTTTTTGCTTCCTTTTATGGAAGTGTATGTTGAATACAAATGCTTTCACTTAGTTATAAATCGATGATTTGGTCGTTTTTTGTCCCTCAAATTTATCGAAAAAAATAATTTAACAAAAGAACTTGTTTTGAAAAATTGAAAGTAGCGGAGACTTGCTTTTGCTGCGCGTGCGAGTTTGGTTCACGAGTGAAAATGAGGACAGAAAATTGAATTCCAAAGCAGAATAAGAGGGTTTTGGGGAAGAAAAGCACAAAAAAAATAAAAAAATAGTACATCATTCTAAGAATATAAATAAACAACTAGGATGTGGATGATTGTAAATGTATTTGGCGATGGTTATAGCTTAAATTGTTTTAGGGATTTTTTACTCTGATAATGTTAATTTGATTCCACGCGAGACTAGATTTTGGATACAAAAAAGAAAGTCATAAAAACCAAAATGTAAGCAATCAGGTGCTAAGCAATGCAGGATATAAATGTGGGGGTACTCCTTTGGTTTGGTTAGCTTTAAATTTTCTAGGTTTTTTGAGTTTTTAGAATCTGATGTTGATTGCATGTATTATGAGCTTTGAATTTCTCCAATGCATTTAGCCGAATCTTGATTGCCCCATGTAATTCGTTTTGATGTAGAGCATGTTCTTATTATTTCCAGTATTGGGTTCAAATCCTATATCTCTATAGCTAGTATGATTATNCATTATGAGCTTTGAATTTCTCCAATGCATTTAGCCGAATCTTGATTGCCCCATGTAATTCGTTTTGATGTAGAGCATGCTCTTATTATTTCCAGTATTGGGTTCAAATCCTATATCTCTATAGCTAGTATGATTATTGGTGTTCCTTTGGCCTAACTATTGATACGGTTTATTTTGTTTGACTGTTTTGGTTTTGGCACCAGGAAGGAGAGTTTTGAATCTAATTCTAACGTCGATTGGAAAAATGTCAGGGTATGTGAAGTCATGAATATTTGGTGTTTATGTTAAATTATTTAAACCATTTTTACGTACAAGCTACTGCAAAATCGGGTTTGCTAAGGCCCAAGACTTCTTAAATGTATCATTTTGGCCATACTCCATCTTAAGGAACAATTTTTTTTGTCCCTATTTGTAATCAATTGTAAGGTAGTTTTGTTAAGTAAATAATCCAAAAATATTGCTCGATCAAATTCTTTCTGGGAGTCAATTCTCGAGGCCAACAAATCATAGCCAAGTTACATTATTGTGAAAGACCCTATTTGGGATGGAGAAATTGGATACCCCAAAAATTAATAAGGATCACAAGATTGGATCATGTGGAGTAGTATTCGAAACTCCATGAATGATTGTTTTGATAAATAAGGAATTGTTTGTAATCAATTGAAAGGAAGTTTTGTTAAGTTAGTACCATTTTAAGTTAACATGTTACCACCATACATACTTTCGTGCATTAACTCAGAAGTGCTTTAACATTCTATATTTACTGTACGATGTACATCCTTCCAATGCTGTCCGTATTATAAAATGCATCAGTGAAATGGACTTTCACTCTAAGAAGCCGCACCAAATGCAACGATTATTTATTTGGAATCAAATAAATTCTTCAATAAAGTGTTACTGAATGATCTTTGAATCCTACCTGCAACTTTGTTGGTGAAGAGTGAATGCGAGTGTTTTTCTGGGATTTCAAAGCAGAAGATGAATCACTGTGCTGGTTGACCACTATAACCTTAAAGTTTTAGAGTGCAAATAGGGCAGAAGGATTATTAATTATGTAAACAAGTCCATTCCATTTCATAGAAAAGTCTTTTTGATTTTGGAGTTCTTTTATATTTACTGATATTTTATAAGATTGGGAGTTATAAGGATTTATCAATTCCTTGAACTTGGCCACCACAAAAAGTAACTAACTTTGCTAGGGCAAATCCCTTAGAAGTAAACTTAATCTGAATTTTTTGTGGTTCCACTTTTATAACTTTGGGAACAAAAAATTCATTTTGTTTTTCTTTTCCATTTGGGTAATCGTCTTCGAATTTTTTTTTAAAGCAGCCTAGATTTTGCTTATTTGTACCAACTGAATCCAATTCCTTCCTTTTGGCCTCTTAATGGAGCAGCTTTTTATTTCTATTTCTCACTTGGATACCTTGAACAGTTTTGTGGGGTGTGTTCTGCGTTATGACGGGTCCTATGAAAAAATGCAAATATCAGCTGTGTTTCTCTTGACTGCACACTTATTGCAACATCTGCACCATTGAATAGGATCAAAGCGGAGGTTCTGGTGCTATCAAGCTATCACCTCTTATTCATTTATCTGTTTCAAGATTTTTAACACCATTGATATATCCCTCACCAGTCCTGTACTATGTTCTTGATAATCGTTAAAGGGTTTTGTTATATGAATCTATGATAGAAATAAATATGGTAGACATTTTTTAGAATGGGTTATTGTTGTCCAATTTTTCTGTAATTACAAGTAGAACGATATTTGCCATCTGTTTATAGGTAGGTGATTAAGAAGATACATTTTTAAGTTTATCCAGTGCTATGTTGGTTTAGACGTTCTTTTTGAACATTGGTTTATTTGATAGCAAGATGGCCGCAATTGTTCAGTTGAATTTTTTTTTTAAACTCAGTTGCATTTGTTACTATTGTGCGCTGCTGTTGGTTCCTTAGCCTAGGTTATATTGAATGGCCTGGTGCCACTGCCATGTTTGTGGTCCACTTCTAATTTGTTATCACACTCTAATCCCCTAAAATTTAAATTTTAGTTGTCCTCCTTATCTATGGTGACAGACATATAACATAGGAATATTAACATTTAAAATTCTGGTTTCGTTTCTAATATTTGTTTCTTGATGTTACAGGGAAGATGTTGTTGCAGAGACTCCTGCTTCAGCTCTGGCTCCGGCTCCGGCTCCGGCTCTTGGTGAGCCCATGGACACCATGACGGCTTTGCAGCTTGTGCTGAGGAAATCACTGGCTCATGGAGGGCTCGCACGAGGGCTCCATGAAGGTGCCAAGGTGATTGAAAAGCATGCAGCACAGCTTTGTGTATTAGCAGAGGACTGCAACCAGCCAGATTATGTTAAATTGGTGAAAGCACTTTGTGCAGATCATAACGTCAACTTGATAACGGTGCCCAGTGCTAAAACTCTTGGCGAATGGGCTGGTGTAAGTAATTAATCATCACTGATCTCTGTTTGCATATAGCTCCTTTACGTGTTAATGAGTCAGTTTACACGTTCCTTGCTCCTGAAATAGGAGGGCAGTTTTAGCAGATTGTTTCTTATCATACCCCCAACCCAACAAAAAAATTGCTCCTGACTAGCGGAGCAGTAGGCTTGGGCATCTGTTTGTTATCCTACTCTGCCAGATTGTACGAGGAATTCTTTCAAATTTTTTATCCTGTCTATGTTCTTTTTAGCCTCACAGTTCCGTTCTTCTGTATGGATGAAATGTTATTTTCTGGCATTGTTCTGCTCGAAATTATTTTCCATTTTTTATTTTCTCATACAGTTGTGTAAGATTGATTCTGAAGGGAAAGCAAGGAAGGTTGTTGGGTGCTCCTGCGTTGTTGTGAAGGTACAAATTATGCAAGTTTTGCACATAGTTTGGCTATACTGGTTTCACCTTCTAGCAGGAGAGGAAAATCCATGACCTTTTAGGATCCCTGATGGTTATGTGCTTGGGAAAACTGTAGATCCTCGAGATTCATAGTTTTCCATATATGTTTCATATAAAAGTTAGATCCCTATAAATTTATTGCTTTTTGTCCAGTGGGAGGTTATGTTCAAATGAAACTCACATTGTATTACATTTTCTCCTCCTCATTTTCGCATTACTGTTTGCAGGATTATGGAGAAGAAACCGAGGGTCTTCATATTGTCCAAGAGTATGTGAAATCCCATTGAACTAAGCTTGGAGTGCATTTCAGATTCTCAGAAGAGTAATTTGGATGGTTTTTTTTTAACATACTCTTGTCCTTTTGTTCTGGCTGTGAAGAGAGTTTATCTTCCCAAACCTTAGCATAGTTTTGGGATTTTATACTTTACGACGTCTTTAGTTGTAGTCATTGAACATCTGAACAAAGTATTGTTGTAACATTTTTGGTTACTATTATTGGATCATCGGACCAATATGATAGAAATTTATATCGCTGAACCATTCAGAAAATGAACCAGAAAAAAAGAGTATGTTCATTCTGTTGGTCAAGCATGAGCATATAAATCTGCCTAGTTTTTGTAATCCTGGTTCCAAAAATTCATATCGTTTTTTTTCGTGTAATCCTAGTTCCAAAAGTCTAGGATCAGGATTTCTTTTTCTATCAACACCAAGTCCAATGGACATTGGTCTTAAAATTTTGAAACCTAATTGATCAAATAAAATACCCTTCAATTTTGTACTATTTCATCCAATATATATCATGTAAAAATAAGTATTTTCTATTGAAATTAGATTATTAGTGTTTGATCATAATCTAACCTATTTATTATTCNTACCCTTCAATTTTGTACTATTTCATCCAATATATATCATGTAAAAATAAGTGTTTTCTATTGAAATTAGATTATTAGTGTTTGATCATAATCTAACCTATTTATTATTCATAATTAATAAGTCAAAATTTTTCTAACTTCGTAGTCTTAACATACTGTCTAAAATTGACACTTGAAGAAGAGTTGGCTTATTGTTGAATGATAAATCCTCATGGAGCTCCTTTGTTTCCTTTTAATGGGTAAACTTTTTTTGGTACTGTAGTGAAAGCTACTAGTTTTTGAAGGATTTTATTGACATAAATTGATAATTGAGAGATTAAATTTAGATAATTGAAAATTATAACTAATCACGAAATTGTTAATTTAAGAACTAAATTGAGATAACTAAAAATTCAGGGATTATTTTAGAACAAAAGACCAAGTTTAAGAACTAACTATAAAAATTACCCTAATTATATTGATCATCACCAATACTTCAGTGGCAGTGNTGAAATTGTTAATTTAAGAACTAAATTGAGATAACTAAAAATTCAGGGATTATTTTAGAACAAAAGACCAAGTTTAAGATCTAACTATAAAAATTACCCTAATTATATTGATCATCACCAATACTTCAGTGGCAGTGGTGTTCTTCTCTATTCCCAAAAATATGTAGCTAGCAATGAAAAAGAAGTTGAGTGTTATCTTATGCTATTCCTACAAGTTGATAAATGTCCCTTTACAGAAGTAGTAGATGTCACAAATGGTAACCAAGCGCGAGCGCCAAGATGATCATTGAACTTAGGTAAACAACACACACACACATAGAGGTCAATATAAGGAAAAGAGGGGACTAGAGCCTAGAGGTAAAAAAGACAAAGCAGATGCTAGCAGGCAAGCATCATCACTTCCTAATTTCCATTAGAACAAACCCCATTACATCCAAATAGGCTACTGTTCGACTTTAGTGCTTGTTATCAAGCAATGCAACCCTGTTTTGGGTTACTAAATGATCTTGAAATAAAAAAATCCCAACAAACATTTTATACATTATCTAAGAGGGTGGCAGTTTTTTTTTAACCTGGGTGAGCAAGAGTAACATTGTTTTTGAGGAGGAGGAAAACCTGATTGTCTGTTGGGAAAAAAAAGAGCTTTTAACACAAAAACTTACTAAACTTCCTTGAGGTTTAATAGACCCAGAAGTAATCTCCTCCATAGAAAAGTTGCTGATGCAGTGCTCATCTTTTGGGACCTCATTTCATGGCTGACTTGTCCTCAGTACAGAAGAATAGTAATGTGATTCCAGCTCCTTGAGGCTAGCAGCAGCCTCCTCTCCAATTCTAGCCAACATTCGATCTGTCTTTTCTGCCTGTCGGTTAAACTCCTCTGTTCTCTGTTCTACATGGTCATTAAGCGATGCAACCCCTGAAAAAATTGCTGTCTGCTTCAATTCTGACACCAACTTAAGCAATGAATCTGCTGCCTGAACCTGTTATTCATGTATTACAGTATGTAAAGTTCCAAAGTGGGCAAAAAACTAGAAATAAAAAAAAGGAGCATTCGGACACCACATATAGCATGGAACAGAATTCATCCAGGAGGTCAAAATTTCAACCAAGTATTGTCCCAGGTAGGACTCTGCCCCATCTGTCAAGATAGTGTCCGCTCTGAGTACCCATAAACCCTTACGGTTTTGTTCCTCTAGGGCTTTGCCCTAGAAAAGACCTCTTAACAATTATAGCCTAGTCATTCTCCCTCCCAAGTCGATGTGGGATGAAACACATGAAGATATAGCACCTCCTTACCACACAAGGCCTGTTGGCAGGCTACTACACAAACCCACCATTCTGTCGAGATAAGTACTAAAGGGATTTCTCAAGGCAGATGATGATGATCNAAACACATGAAGATATAGCACCTCCTTACCACACAAGGCCTGTTGGCAGGCTACTACACAAAACCACCATTCTGTCGAGATAAGTACTAAAGGGATTTCTCAAGGCAGATGATGATGATCCTCTTCATAGACCAAATACTACTATTTACAACTGCTTGAGTTGCTAATCACATCCAGTTAAAAAAGTTGGTTCGTCACATGGCCAGAGAAAAATGTGCCACGTAGAGTCATCCTGATTGCTGCAAACTATGTCTTTGGGATTGTGTATTGCAAATACGTACATGCAGGCATATGTGCGAGAAGAGAAGAGTCCCTTACCATTCTGGCTGCACGCATCTCCATCATGAAAGCTTCTTGTGAATTTCGAACCGGTGGATCATTAACCTACAATATTCCTAGTAATATCAGGTGGTTATGACATCAACTCCATTTTGATGCATTTATAGATGATGTTTCTGGTTAGAGTCACTCATACTCCAAGTTTAATGCAAGATAGTAAAAGATACAACTTCCTGAAAGAAAGAACACTCTAATGACCCCCTCCTTTAATAACTACTCACGTACAAGCCATACCATAAGTTTTCTGGTATAAGTTTTTTTTATTTCGTTTACTATATTTACAAAAGCAAGGGCATATTTCATAGTATGAGCTCCAAAATTTGTTATTAAGGCCATAGACTTCTCTTAGTTGTATCAAAATGTCCTACTTATACTTTCGAACGATTAGCAGCAGGACAATATCATTTGCTTTCCGGCTAAGAAATTTATAATCGGATTGAAAATTAGGAAAGAAGGCAGCAGGCACGAAAATTACCCAATCCTAACATAGGGAGGTAGTGGCAACAAATAACAATACTGGGATTGTAAAGTTTGGTAATTGAAATGAGTACAATCTAAAACCCTTAGATTCCATTGAAGGAGAAGTCTAGTGCCAACAATTGTAGTAATTCAAGCTCCAATAGCATATATCTAAGTCGTTGGAGTTGGAAAGATCGTAGTTAGATATTGAGTTGAGTCGGATGGTCCGCCCTATGGTGTGGGTTGGTCCTTTCTACTGACGATGTGCTCCTGACTAGGTCATTCCCTCGACGCTGTTACTTTAAAGAAATTAGCGTGCTCAAAGCAAGTTNAATTCGTCTCCTTTCTACTGACGATGTGCTCCTGACTAGGTCATTCCCTCGACGCTGTTACTTTAAAGAAATTAGCGTGCTCAAAGCAAGTTTACGATGTTGATACATTAGCAAGGACTAATATTAGAGGATTTATATCCTATTGTGTTGGCCAATGGGATCAGAGTAATGAGTAGCAGGGATAGTCATGGACATTTGTATTTTCATAGGTGAAATTCTTGGATTTACGAAAGACAAACAACTACAAACTCTGCACTCTTCCCTTCCATCAGTCGCCAGTAGTTATTTGCATTCCCAACATACGAGAATAAGTTTAGAGGAAGAGGGGATCGGTGATAGGTATGGAAAGAATTAGCGTGATCAGTTCTAATTCAAGATTTTTTATTAAACTAACTCTGGAGTCTAGTCTCCTAAATATCGGTAATTTCACTTGATGTTATAAGAGAAACTTCAAGTGTGAAGCACGCCATGATTTGCTATGCTTCAAGCTAGAGACTCAACAAATGATATCAGTTTAAGGCTCAATAAATTTCTGACTGCCCCAAGTTCTTGCATATCCTTATTACAAGGAGTACATTATTGCAACTCAATTTCAATATCTGAAATGCACCAAATGCCTCAATAACTGCTATTACATTAAAGCAATCCAATAAGAATTCACAAAGTTATGGCAGTAATGAGAGAGAAAGAGAGAGTGTACCCGAGCAACATTAACGAGGAAACTGAAGTTGTCAACGATATTGCCAATGTCATTGTCTACTCTCTGCAACAATGTCTTCTGCTTTTGAGCAGCAGCAGTCGCAGCTGCAGCAGTTGGCCCACCTCCTCCACCAATTCCTACGCCTACCACTCCCTTATTCATTATGATTCTTGACTAGCTATTTCACGTACAGGGAAAAAAAAGGTCAAGAATATCACAGACATTGTGCTTAGGTCTATGTTTGACTCACAAACACCACTTCTGATCCTACATTCACAGGGTTTACGAATTTTCACCATTCTGATAATATATCAGATCAAGAGAATATATAGATACTATTATAATCTCAAACATGAATTCAATATTCAGACACCTGGATACTAAAACTAACGGTGGTCAATTAGAACGAACATTAAGTCGTAGAACATTCTGAGGCTGTGTTTGGATACTCAGATTCAAAAATTAGACCTGAATTGAATAATGAATCCATAGATTTCAAAACCACTTTATCCAGAATCCATAAATTTGTTCTATGGGTCGACGTTAAAAAAAAAGCACAAAAGTTTCTTCTAATTCCAAACTCGACTAATCCTTTGTGCTCATAAAATTAGCTCCATAGACAGATTTCCCCTCAGAATCTTGAAGTGCGGCCCAACAAATTAACAAAGAACAGAGATTGTGTGTGTGAACCTGCGTGTGTTGGTGTTTGTAAGGTAGTCTGTGTTTGCAGAGCGTGAAGAGAGAGAGAGAGAGAGAGAGAGAGAGAGAGAGAGAGAGAGAGAGAGAGAGAGGCAACACCTGGAGAAGGGGGAAGGTGACGCTGGCTTCGGCGATGGCTGGTGTGAGAGGGGCAGAGGAGAGAGTGCTAAGATGTCATATAACGAAAGAAGGGCGCCAAGTGCTCAATGGAAACCATCAATGGTAGGGCTGTCGAGGGCTCTACTTCTGTTGAATTGAGTCCGTCTCGTATGTAACCCATATCGTGTCAAAATTTATACTTGATTTTTTTATATTCATGTGTAGTCAGGTTTGCATTTCATTTGGTTGGTATCACTTATATTCAATTTATACTTGATTTCTTCTTTTCTTTTCTTTTTTTCTTTCACTCTTCTTTAAATTTGACAGACTATCATAGTTTTAAAACCAGGCCTGAACATCAACTCAAGAAAGGGACTGGGCTAATAGGTCGCTGGTTGGACTGATAATATAATAAAAAAATAATAAATAATAATAAATAGGCTAAAAATCATAATAATTATTAAAATAGCATGCTGCATGTATATTACATCAAACGAAAACCTCAAAATTATCAAACATGCATCCCAATGNTAGTATTATAATCTCAAACATGAATTCAATATTCAGACACCTGGATACTAAAACTAACGGTGGTCAATTAGAACGAACATTAAGTCGTAGAACATTCTGAGGCTGTGTTTGGATACTCAGATTCAAAAATTAGACCTGAATTGAATAATGAATCCATAGATTTCAAAACCACTTTATCCAGAATCCATAAATTTGTTCTATGGGTCGACGTTAAAAAAAAAGCACAAAAGTTTCTTCTAATTCCAAACTCGACTAATCCTTTGTGCTCATAAAATTAGCTCCATAGACAGATTTCCCCTCAGAATCTTGAAGTGCGGCCCAACAAATTAACAAAGAACAGAGATTGTGTGTGTGAACCTGCGTGTGTCGGTGTTTGTAAGGTAGTCTGTGTTTGCAGTGCGTGAAGAGAGAGAGAGAGAGAGAGAGAGAGAGAGAGAGAGGCAACACCTGGAGAAGGGGGAAGGTGACGCTGGCTTCGGCGATGGCTGGTGTGAGAGGGGCAGAGGAGAGAGTGCTAAGATGTCATATAACGAAAGAAGGGCGCCAAGGGCTCAATGGAAACCATCAATGGTAGGGCTGTCGAGGGATCCACTTCTGTTGAATTGAGTTCGTCTCGTATGTAACCCACATCGTGTCAAAATTTATACTTGATTTTTTTATATTCATGTGTAGTCAGGTTTGCATTTCATTTGGTTGATATCACTTATATTCAATTTATACTTGATTTCTTCTTTTCTTTTCTTTTTTTCTTTTGCATTTCATTTGGTTGGTATCACTTATATTCAATTTATACTTGATGTCTTCTTTTCTTTTCTTTTTTTCTTTCACTCTTCTTTAAATTTGGCAGACTATCATAGTTTTAAAACCAGGCCTGAACATCAACTCAAGAAAGGGACTGGGCTAATAGGTCGCTGGTTGGACTGATAATATAATAAAAAAATAATAAATAATAATAAATAGGCTAAAAATCATAATAATTATTAAAATAGCATGCTGCATGTATATTACATCAAACGAAAACCTCAAAATTATCAAACATGCATCCCAATGCATTCAATTTCGGAATTTCCAATACTTGTAAATTTAAGCAGAGAAGAATGTAAGACTTAAATGTGGCCCACATGATTTTTGGCACATGTGATATATACTGTTGGTGATGTGGTTAGGTCAAGATAACGATAAGGTTCACAATCCCAAACTAACCACTGATGGTTTCTGATTGGTCAAAGAGAAATAGTAGTTTCCTAATATCCTACTTTGATGGGAAGTGGAGTTCATGTTAATCTAGGAAACCGGTCCTTTCTCTACCGATAAATGTGCACTTGCCCCATTCATTTGTGTATCTTACGTCAAAAAAGTTAGGAGAGAGAAACTGTGTTTTCAGGCTACACCAAATACTGTTATTCTTGTTCAAGAATCATAAAGGTTTACATCAATGGCTTCAAATATGTAACTTATGATGTTTTTAATTCCGCAATATGAATATGTGAAAATCATGATTGTTCTAGGTCTTGGAATTAGGGTTTGATTAATTTATTTGATCAAATAAAGTTTACAAAAAATACGTTATTTAAGCCCTACATAATCTTAATTTGCATAATTTTTGATCAAACAATATGCTCTTAATTAATTGCATAATTTTTGAAATTGAGCCCTACAATATTTCAATGTATAAAATATAGCATTACCACAGATTCAATGCATAAAAATCAAATATAGCATTACCAATGAATGTATTACAATATGACAATAACCAACTAGTATACTCTAAAATCTAAGTAGTAGACTAGATTGATATGAGAGAGAGAAAGAGTATTTACCTACTACTATGTCTCTGTCCAGCCTTCTTATGCGCGGAGAATGGGGGTGAAGAAATCGTCGTGCAGCTCTCAGAGAACGTTACCTTCTTCTTCGAATTTTTTCGAGTTCCACGTTGATTGAGTTGCATTGCAGGCTTGTAGCAGAGAGAGAGAGAGAGATAGGCTGAGAAGGTCGTCGCCCGTCGATGTCGCAGAGTAGTAGGTGGGAGTGAGAAGTGGTGAAACGATTTAGGGCAAAAGCAAAATGCTCAAAATGGGCCAAAACTCGGCAATTTATATACCATTTTAATTGATCCTGCGGGTTTGCCATAAACTGTCCGGGTTAAACGGTTCAGCAGGTTTATTCCGGTTTCTCTGCAGAAACGATTCAATAGAAAAATGGCTCGGTTTAGGCATCTGATCGGCCCAGCCTGCTGGGCCCATTTTTAAAACACTTTCAAGGGTACAATTGATATATTCATTTTTCTGTTTGAAAATTCACAATCAAAATAGGGAAACTTTGAGTTGTGCAGGGTCAACAACTCTCAACTTGGCGGTGTTTGTGTGAATACTAAATGTAACGGTTATACCACGTCAACAGCGTGTCTAATAAGAAAGTTAAAAAATGGATAAAGTAGATATCTTTTCTTTATAGGGAAGTGACCATATATTATATGGATGGTAGTTACTGAATTTTTTTGTACTCACTTATTTACTTGTTCTTTTTTTAATGGTGTCACTTATATTCAATTTATACTTGATTTCTTCTTTTCTTTTCTTTTTTTCTTTCACTCTTCTTTAAATTTGGCAGACTATCATAGTTTTAAAACCAGGCCTGAACATCAACTCAAGAAAGGGACTGGGCTAATAGGTCGCTGGTTGGACTGATAATATAATAAAAAAATAATAAATAATAATAAATAGGCTAAAAATCATAATAATTATTAAAATAGCATGCTGCATGTATATTACATCAAACGAAAACCTCAAAATTATCAAACATGCATCCCAATGCATTCAATTTCGGAATTTNCAAGTGACAATATTGACGTAATGGAACTGTTACACTCATTATTTTTGGGGGTTGTGTGTTTAGTTGTAGAACAATGTTATATGAACTTAATTTGGAGATTTAATCAAAGACTTAATTCGTTGCAGTCATTAAATTAATTATAAATTTTAATATTAGATAAAACTCACTTTCAATCTAATAGTTATATAAAATTAAATTTCAATAACATTTTTCTTACCAGGAAAGAATGTCATTTACATGGTGAGGCTTGACCAGTCCAAATCAATGTTTGTGTCTCAGAGTTGTGGTCCATGGACTGTGGTGGATTTGTGGGTCCAGACTGCACTCCAGCCCACAAGTTTATCATCTTCCACGTTGAATGCGACACATCTTTCTTTTGAGATGAACCACGCATTTCTTTTTTTATGGGACTGGGTATTTGTAAAGTAAATATTAAATACGAAATATTATTATCACATAATATTATTAATTAATAATAAAATATCAAATGAGTAAGTTGAACCTCACTTAAGTCTTTTTTATTGAGACTCTATCACTTGATACATCATTAAATCATTTTTTTATGTTTCAATAATATTATTCTTATTCAAGATTTCTTTATAGTGTAAATTACTTGTAAGGTATTGACGGGAGATCCACTAGTTCGCCTTGAATTGATGAGAGGTGGGTTGTATTGAAAGTAAAAAATGTTGTAAAGGAAATCCAAATCAGTAAATTGGCTATATAATTAGATTACTTGGCCTTGTTCCATCATAGCTTCATGTAAGTCCAAGTCCTAGCATTAACTGGCGAGGAAGATATCAATAATTTATAATATAAAATAGGACAAATTTTAATAAATTCATTCAACGGTCTCAAATAGACTTATCTAATAGGTCACATTGCACCGTATCTTCAGACACGAGTTATCCCTAATAACTTATAAGCCCAAGACAAATGGAAAGAGACATTAGGTATGGAAGCTGCCATATCTCTCTAGGAAGGAAGGATAAGAGTTATATATATATATATATATATATATATATTGATGTCTGAAGGGATAAACATGCATATCTTTTTGCTTACAGCTGAGCATAGTTCCAATTACCTGGTTTACAAACCAGATAATTTCATTGCTCTTCTGTATTCCATTTTAATGTTGCATATCTGAATTCTTTTATGCCAAAAATCGCACTCAAGGTCCTCACTTGTAATAGGTCCGGGAGAGGTAAGTATTAAGTACTTCTAAATTTTTAAAGAGTTTGATTCTCGAATTAGAACTCTCGAATCACCCACAATATGTTACTTAATTAGATAGATAAGTACTTATCATCACTCTTGTTCAATGTCTATCTGAATTATCTGTGGCAACTAACAATCAAATTGAATCAATTGCCATTCACCAAAGTTGGTGATACAAGATCATTAATTGTGCAGTTTTGACAGCAAATACCAGCAGTCACTCTCTTTGCAAAAATGCACAGTTTTTTTTTTGTTCCTTTGGTAAATACGAAGAAAAGTACAACGCAATGCAGGAAGATGGGGCTTTCTTCAATGCAATCGATCACAGCAGAGCTATGGAAATGATCATTACCTAATTTGGGAAAGAGGGTCTTAATTGTTTAAAGTATGACTCAAATATCGCAAATAACACGTGTAAATTGTTTGCCTTATCGTCATTTATTCATAACATATTAGCTAATATCATTTTAAATGGTTGTGACATAGTCTGAATCTCTTGTAATGGATAACTTTATATCTCAAATTTCATGCGTATAACTTGATACAATTTCACGACATCGCCATAAATAAAATATCAACTTTATTTGTGACACTTTTTTAGATTTTCATAGAAGACTGATTCTACTGAGTTTTTTAGTGTCTTTCTATCAATACGAATCACACCAAATATTTTTTATTTAACAATTAAAAATGTCCAAACCAACCGAATTACAACAATTAAACAATTTATGCATGGGACAGGGTCCTATATCTTGTTTATTCTCTCTCCTCTCAACTCCCTTTACTACCTAATATTAGTATGTGTGAGGCTGAGGTTACGGGATGAACTATCATCATGGGACCTAAATCCCAAGATGTATGGTGATTTCCAACTTTTGAAGAATAAAACATAAAGACTGTCTTAAAAAGTCAACAAAAATAGATAGGACTCATGATGAGTTTAGTGAGGTGGTCATGCTCCCTAGCCCCGTCCGCAAATAAAATAATATTTTGTTTGATAAAATGAAAAAATATGGGGATAAAAAATTGAAAAGATGAAAAATTTGAGAGATAAATAAAACATCATGTTTAATAAGGAAGAAAAATAGAAATGATGAAAAAGTTGATAGATTAACTTTTTTTCAAACTCACAAAAATTGATCCCTCTAAAATTGGAAGGAAAGTTGATGAGAAGTTAATTATTTATGTTGAGATGTATCTTATTTGTCTATATATCTTTTGATATATATTTAAAATTAAATTTAAGAAATAAAAAAATATTTCTTCTATCTTAGATAGGGGTGAAAATTTTTGACTTAATACGATGACACGACTCGAACTCAACACAAATTTTATAATATGAACTTGATTATAATTCGACACGAATTTAAAAATGACTTGACATGCGAACTAGAAATATAAATGATTCATATTTAGTTCAACCCGTCAAATTTAAAATTGACACCATTAATCCGTTTGTTTAAAAATAAACACTTTTTTTTATTTTCCCGTTTATATGGTGCACGAAACTAACATGTTTAACTAGTATTATAAATATAAAATATTAATTATTTATAACTATTTATTAAGTACTGACATAATTATTATATAAAAAGATATTATTATTAGTATATTTATTTAAAATAATTTTTAGTTTATGAAAAAAATATGAACATGAATTCAATTAAGTGAAAATAGAATATTAGTGTTAAATTTTTTATTTAAAATTTATGAGGGCCAATATAAATATGAACACGAACACGATACGAAAATAAACATATTAACTCGATACAACATAATTAGTTAAATGAGTTGAGTTAGATTTGACTAATATTTGACACAAATTCGTAATGACTCAACACGATACTACTCGATTGTCACCCCTAATCTTGTCAGCATAAAATTTTTTTTAATTATTTTTATTTTTCATTCATCCTACCAAACACAAATAAAAATAAATATATCATTCATACTTTTTTTCGAAAGATAAAATATATCCTTCTTATTTTTTATTTTTTATCTTTTATACCGAACGGAATAAAAGGTTAACTCTCCACGTGGACAACGGAAGGGACAACGTGGCTAACTAACTTTTGATTTGTGGCCGCTGAGAGCTAACGGACAGTCAGAGTAGCTCTCAGTGGCAATCTCGTAAATATTCTGAAAAACAACGTCAACAATAAAATCAAATGTATGTAGCATAACGCTCTATAAACAACGTGGCTCACCTTCCTCTACATTTTATACACAAGCCAACCCAACACCAGGACCACACCTTGCACTCCAGTCCTTCGCTTTCTCGCCAGCTTCCCACCACCATTTTTCTACTCTCTCTCTCCAAGAGTATACTCAGAAGAGTGAGGGGAGGGGAGATAAGTTTTGGGTCTTTAGCAATGGCTGGGAATGGAGTTTTTGCTGAGATAATTGATGGAGATGTGTTCAAGTTCTACTCTGAAGGAGAGTGGAAGAATTCATCTTCTGGAAAGTCTGTTTCCATTATCAATCCTACCACAAGAAAGACACAGTACAAGGTTCAAGGTATTTATTACACCCCCTCCCCCCCCTCCCCCAAAAAAAAAAAAACTGACACACACACACATGTTTAGAAATGCTATTGCATATAAGTCTGTGCATGGTGCTTGTGTGTGTTTGTTTCTAATTGAGTAGAGGTGAATGGTAGAACAAAATGACAAGCTTCCTGTTGTTTTGAGTTCTCTTTAATCAAAATGGGTTTAATCTGTTTTCTGATTCATGTTTCAGTTTGTGAAATTTCTCATGGATTTAGGATAAAATTGAGTGAGAAACAGAGGAAATAGTAGAGATCTGAGTTTTCTTTGTATGCCACTTTATGAAATTGATCATTATGTAAAAGATGTCGACTTGTATAATTAAATTAGCAAGCTAGTTTTCTTATTTACTTTGTTATGATCTTTTAATCAGCTTGTACACAAGAAGAGGTGAACAAGGCGATAGAAAATGCAAAAAGTGCACAGAAATTGTGGGCAAAGACCCCACTCTGGAAGAGAGCTGAGCTCCTTCACAAGGCCGCTGCAATTCTGAAGGAGCACAAAGCCCCCATTGCAGAGTGTCTGGTCAAAGAAATTGCAAAGCCAGCAAAGGACGCAGTCACTGAGGTAGGGAAGATTTTTATTTCTTTTTTCTCTGAGCCATCTTTGATTTGAAGTTTTGATTAGTCAATTTATATGACAAAATAATTTGAAGTAATGGGTTCAATGAAGGTTGTAAGGTCTGGGGATCTGGTGTCTTACTGTGCTGAAGAAGGAGTTCGGATTTTGGGAGAGGGCAAATTCTTGGTTTCGGATAGTTTTCCTGGGAATGAGAGGACCAAATACTGCCTCACTTCTAAGGTGCATCACAACTCTTCTATCCTATTCAGCTTAACTCTATTACCAATGTGTTAATCTTATCAGTTTTCGTCCTTTTTAGTTGGATACGCTGGACTATGAATGGAGGTAATTTGGTAGATTTTTCTGTTCTACATTGATCAAAGACCCACCTAGTAATTATTAACCACTCAAATTGTAATTGTATCAGTGTCTGCTCCAAGAAAGAAAGGATTATCATCCGTCAGCTGATTCAGTTCATATAATACATTAATTCTTCGATCCATTTGATCTTGATATTCGAGTTCCAGAAATTTCATCTAATCATTCTGATAAATGGCACGATTGATATGACATTTCATTTATATGACATTGCACAACATAATTGGTTCCTGGAAGTTCTGGACAGGACCTTATTGGTTTGGTTTAAGTTTTGTGGATGTTATTTCATTGGATGGTAACAGGAAACTGAGATCAGAAAGCCTTTTCAACTGCGATATCGCCACTTTGTGCATACGTATACCCATCCTTTGTCTTCTTCCTTCAACTTGTAATGGCTACTTGGGTGTCTGTTGTTAGTTCATACTTCATGTAAAAATTCCTCTTTGTTATCATCGTTTGTCACATACTCAGTAACTTACACTTGGCTGATATGCTGACGCATCAGTGACATACTCTTATTTTTAGCAATTTTCCCAAACAATAATATTTGTTATTTTCTACTAGACCATTACCCTTTTTTGTTTTGGTTCTAGCTGTCATAGCCTTTTTCTTTGTCATCCTTTCTCTTACTTTGCTATCATGCCATATTTGTTACACCTGTCATGTGCATCGGTTTGGTCACTTATTTGGTAGATTGACATTCATCTTGTTCTGCCTCTAGTCACCTACATTTCGAAAGTGCCATAGTGTCCAAGAGAGTGATTACGATATATTAAAATTCGTTAAGAAAAGACAGGACATGAATTGAGTGGCCTTTTAATTAACATACATGACGTTCAAAATCTTTCCTAGGGGAAGATTTAAATAGATCCAGACATGATGCTTTCTTTTTTTTTTTTCTTTCCTTTTCCTTTTTCGGCTTGATAAGAACATTTGTTCCCAACTTACATTTGTTCCTACATGTGCTCCTAAATTACAGAATGTGGTTGCAGATTATCATGTCACCACTAACTGAAAGTTAATCCATGTGATGGATTTGATGCCGGCTAATAAACACTGGCAAATCCCTCTTTTCTTGTAGTGGCAGAATAGAAGATATGCCACTAATTTGATTAGAACGAGCCAGGAAAGTGGCCTAATGCTGTTGCGTTTGACAGTCCAATGACTTGTTTAATCTAATATTATCATCCAAGCAAGATAATGAATTTACTACATTAAACCTTCTGGGAAGAAAAAAGAATTTCTTACATCAGATGGCTAGGTGTGTTGGGGCTGTGAGAATCTCATTATGTAGCTTATTAATATCGGGTAATGTAAACTGAAACTGGTATACATTGAGTGGCATAGTTAGAAATGAATGAGCTCTTCCCATCCTCAGGAAGAACGTCAGTAGCTTTTCCCAGCTTAACTTGGCAAAAATCTGGCAGTGTATTTACACCTACAAATATCAGAAAGTTGTCAACACGGTACAAAGAAGGCAAAAGTTAACCTTTTTCATTCATTAGCGGTGGACTTCATAACTTGGTATCGGCCGGCAGGCCTGGATTACAGAATTAGCTGCTTCGATTTAGTAATACGTTAGTTGGGTGTTAATTTTAAAAGAAGCAGAGTCCACTCAAGTGACTTTCGACCAGACATTACTTCTTTCAGTCTTTGATTGAAGTCACACTGGATTGCTCTATATTTAGTTCAAAACCTGTGTAACTAGAAGATTCTTAGGTCTAGATAGTGTTGTAGAATCTAGTCATTGGCAAGAAGGTATATTTGTTTAGGCAGTTCTGGAGTGATATAGTACGAGAGTCACATGTTCGCAACTTATTTTCTCTTATATTGACATTTTCTATTGGTTTAAGTGAATTAGAACAGTGGATTTCATTTATACATCCACTTTCAAATACCGTGTTTTGATGACAGAGGGATGCTTATGGGAGCATGCTTTGATTTATATCTTCTTGATACATTTGACTTTCTTTATTTGAACTGCAATTTATTTATTTATAATCCAAAATTGCTAAAAATTTTGAGGCTTACGAATTTCAATTGCATATGTGGACTGCAGATTCCACTTGGGGTTGTTTTGGCCATCCCACCATTTAACTACCCTGTCAACTTAGCTGTCTCCAAGATTGCTCCTGCACTGATTGCTGGAAACTCACTTGTTCTAAAGCCTCCAACTCAGGTATTGTCTTATAATTCCTTACCTGCCCCGAGTCTTTGATGTTTTTTTTGATCACCTGTAGCTTATCAGCCAATATTTCTACACAGCATTTTTCAGACGGCAAAACTTAATTGTTTACATGTTTTGGACATTGCAATGGGTCCTTAGCACTTCAAACCACAAGTTTACTATCTTTTAAGTTTTACCAAAAATAAAATAGAGTCTCACCAGAAACTGCATTGTATTAAGCAGTAGTATACTTATCATGGATTTGATCGATTAGCTTAAAACTGCAATGTAAGAAACAAAAAACTGTGTACCAAAAAGTTAAATGGAATGGATTTATTTTCCCACGCTCATTGTTCAGAAATCAGGAGCTGTCACTCGTGCATCGTGAAAGCTTTCGGTTTGCATTCAAACTTCTCTGTGGATCATAACATCCATTATTCAAATTAATGCAGGGTGCTGTGGCTGCCCTTCATATGGTGCATTGCTTTCACTTAGCCGGTTTTCCAAAAAGCCTTATTAGCTGTGTCACCGGTAAAGGCTCTGAGATTGGTGATTTTCTCACTATGCATCCCGGCGTGAACTGTATAAGGTAAAACAAAATTAAGTTTTTCAAAAAATAACATCGGTTGCCTCTTCCTTTGCTTGAAATTTTTTTACTCATTCCTGACTTTGTGTACAAGCCTTGCTCAGCGTCACTAGTGCATACATCAGTTCCTCTTCCTTACTAGAAATTTGCTGTGTCTTCCCTAATTTGCATACATGTTTTGCCTAGCTTCACTGGTGGGGACACTGGGATTGCAATCTCGAAAAAAGCAGGCATGATTCCTCTACAGATGGAGCTGGGAGGCAAAGATGCTTGTATCGTGCTTGAGGATGCTGATTTAGATTTGGTAGCAGCAAATATTGTCAAAGGAGGTTTCTCTTACAGGTGGAGGAATTTTTTTTAATGTCAGCATGGTTGAATTGAGAATCCTTTTATATAAGACAGGAAGAAACTATTTATGAGTCCTGAAATTAGCATCAAGGATTTAGGCTAAGCCTTGGACCTCATTCTAAATAATACAAGATGAATGTGGCATGTATAGGCTTGGCTTCTTAGAAGACAATTTCTGTATTAAGGCAAAAAAAAATTCCTGCACTTTCCGGAGTACGAATCTATATGAAGTTTCTTCTTATCCAAATGTGTCGGTGGGAGCTTCTTCAGAACCTTATCTTTCCCGAAGTATGCTATAAAATGCAGTATAATTGTCTTCACATGTTGCTTCATTGAAATTGGTGAAGTCACATTACTGTTTGTTGTCCAATTTTTTTGACAGTGGTCAAAGGTGTACTGCCGTTAAGGTTGTCTTGGTGATGGAATCCATTGCCGATGCCATCGTCGAGAAAGTGAAGGCCAAAGTGGCAAAATTGACAGTCGGACCACCTGAAGATGACTGTGATATCACTCCAGTTGTTTCAGAGTCATCTGCAAACTTTATTGAAGGGTTGGTTATGGATGCTAAACAGAAAGGAGCAACATTTTGCCAAGAGTACAAGAGGGAGGGTTACCTTATCTGGCCTTTATTGTTAGACAACGTTCGGCCTGACATGCGAATTGCATGGGAGGAGCCGTTTGGGCCAGTTTTGCCGGTTATTAGGATCAGTTCTGTTGAAGAAGGAATCCACCATTGCAATGCCAGCAATTTTGGCCTCCAGGTACTAAATTTATTCCCAAAATCATCATCCAAAACAAGTTTCTTCCCAGATCATTGTAACATGTTTGCTTGTCTCCTCTCATGCACTTCGGTTGTTTGTCAATAATAAGGTGGCCTTTAAGTGTCCCCATAATCCCCATAATTTGGTATAACATTTGATCATTTGACATTATGATAACGATCTTATACAAATCTCAGACATACTTGTAGCCCTGATTTCACATTCATTTTAAAATACTGCAAGGTACTGTAATTTTTGGTGGGCCTTGAACTATTTCAGTATATATGATTTTTTTTTTTTTTTGATAAAAAACAATGGCAATTTCTTTAACGAGGGATATCGTCTAGGAGATGAGGCATACCAATTGTGTTATTAGAGATGTTATGCTATGTTATTGAAACATTTGCCGAATTGAGCTGCATGATACTTTCATAGCAGCCACCACCTCCCAGATTTGAATTTTTCTAAACGGTGCTCACATGTCTTCAGATGAATATTACTAGAATTTATTATAGAATTCCTCTGGTTCTTTGCTTGGTATAGCTGGTTTAGTGCCAAATGGAACAGTAGTTCAGGAGAAAAAACAATAGAACACTCGAAAACACCTTAGTTTGGTAATGACGAATTGAACCACAGGGTTGTGTGTTTACGAGGGACATCAACAAAGCAATGTTGATTAGCGACGCAATGGAGACAGGAACAGTACAGATCAACTCAGCACCAGCCCGAGGGCCAGACCATTTTCCTTTCCAGGTAAACTAGAAAATCCAAAAAGCCTCCCATTTATCGGTACTTCACAATCATAATCTGTTTTAAAGTCTGGTTGTGTTTAGAGAATCTTTCAACAACTGTGTTTTTTTTTTCCACAGGGTTTGAAGGACAGTGGAATTGGATCTCAAGGCATCACCAACAGCATTAATATGATGACCAAAATCAAAAGCACTGTGATCAATTTACCAACCCCTTCTTACACCTTGGGCTAAACTACCTGTTGGTAATTAATATCGCGACAGACTGCTTGTGTTAGTAGCTGTTTGTATCATCAATAATTGAGTTTTTGTCTTAAATCTTTCGGATGGTTTTGTTTTATAGCTATCGATGATGAAGAACAAAGAATAATATCCAATATATGTGTACGTTTTGTTTTCCTTTTTAGGAGAATATCAATACAACCCTTATGGATACATTACAATCTCTCAAGCTTGAACATTAGGTCACTCCTTAATCTCTCTGAGGTCATCAATTCAGAGGCCCTAAACATACTAGTGTGAACCCATACTAAATCACTAAAAGTGGCTATAAAAGTCGTATTCAATGCACAAGTCTCCTACCAGCAATTAGATCTAAAAGAAATAAGTAGCACAACTAGAAATGAAGACTCAATGCAACTCTATTGACACCCTCTAAAGCAAAGTAAGTTAATGTCCATGCTTCTCAATAGAAAAACATGAGAATTAAGAATTATAAAATGGGCCAAGTATTACAATTGCTAATGTGTAATGCAATGGGTGGGGTGAGGTGTAAAGAAAGTCTCTCTTTCTGAAACAAGTGGGATGTGATTGGTACAAGACAAGGACATATACCTACATCTTTTGCAAAGTCAAGGACCTCTCTCTCTCTCTCTCTCTCTCTCTCTCTCTCTCTCTCTCTCTCTCTCTCTCTCTCCGGGGCAAGGAATATTAGCCAAGCAAGCCATCTTGGAAACAAATCCCTATAAGCACTCAAATCATGTCTTAGAATAGAATTGTTATATTAGCACAAATTCACCAAACTTTTAGCCATTAGTATCGGAATCTCTTTTAGCTGTAAGCTCGACGACATCTAACAAAGTACAACCAGCATGGACACTTAAGTGCACAAAAAGAAATTACTATTAGAAGCACTATTATTTAAGAGTAATGAGGATGGGAAGACATTAATTAGTTAGAATGTTGTTGGATAATCTTTGTTTACTCAATACGCGTGGTTACAATTGATTACGTATATCTAGAATTATATTATAACAATGACGACAAGTGATGCATAATTGAGACCATTCTCCGTTATATTAGAAAAAGAATTTGGCATTCACGTAAGAACAATGTTGATGAACTAAGATTAAAATTATGAGAAAAGCAAAGGCGAGGCATCACCCATACGAAAGCGTGATTCGGGTATGAAGTTAAACGTGATTAAGGAACATGTTGTTGACGTGACTTGATCCCGTTAACGTGGGGCGGCAAGGCTTCTTTTCATGGGGATGAATCCACGGGTTCGATTCTAAGATGGCTTGAATTGTCACATAAGGAAATTCCTACAGCATGGTCTCTCATGATATTCCTCAGCATATCCTTTCTTTTTTCCTATTATTTGCTACTTAATTAAAGTTTTCAATGACAAGTCGAAGTATGTAGAGCATCTAGGGCTCATGTTAGGGTCACATTTCATGCTTCATTACAATTTTGGGAAGACACGGTGCCCCATGGAATCAGGGTGGATGGTTCACTAAAAGAAAGCGGGTTATTTCAAAATAGTTTATCTTGTCCGTAAGGGTATCTCTAACTCTTACCCTTTTTGTTCCTAAATTTAAATTTTGGGTAAAAATAGTCTAAAATACTTCTCTAATGTTATACTTATATTCATACCATATGAAGAAAAATCTTATTTTAAACCCAAATCAAGAGAAACCCAAATCTATACTCAAATATTTAATGGTGAAATTTCACCATCTTTTAAAAAGATCCAATGGTCATATTTTACTCTTTTTTAAATTCGAGTTTCTCTTCTTTTAAATTTAAGTTTCTTCATTAGAGAGGTTTATATCAAATCAAGTCTTTTACCTTTTTAAATTTGGGTAAGGGTTTGAGTTTCCATTAGAGTTGGTCTAAGTATTTGAAATCCAATATTCTTGTGAACATACTGTACGGTGAACAATTAAATACGAGAATAACCAAGAAAATAAGAACATAAGATTTATGTGATTCGATAAATTATTCCCAACAATATATGTTTGTGTTTAATACAAGGAGATGTTTAAGTCGCTTCATGTTGCAATTTAATCAATCCACATCCAGTTTATGTTAAGTATGGTTGTGGATCAGTTACGCTTGTGTCATGTGTAATTTATGTTGTTTTTAACTTTTATATAAACAAATTCATATCAATCTATTTTCTAAGTTCGAGTCTCAAAAGTTAATCGGATAATGGAAGTTATGTATCAAAACAACACTTTATAGAGGAAACTCAATTTCATATCGTCTAGTTTTTTAAAAGAATTTGGGGTTATATACTATACTAATGTTACCTTGTAATTGAGTTAAGTGAGACCTTGAATCTTACACGTGTTTAGGGGTGGAACTAGCAAAAGAGATGCGAGTGATTGTGCAGATATGAGTAAAATAATTGTCAATTAGGCTAAATTATTGTATTTTAAGGATGACACGTTGCTACCTTTTGTACTGTATTTTTTCATTAAAGGGTACAAATCGTTTTAAGAGAGTAGGCTAGTCCGCGCCTATCCTACTGTTTACTTTATTTTTCAGATTTTGGATTCATTTTTTCCAACACACACAAACACATGTATAGATGTGTGTTCATTGACTGTAAATTCTGTCTTAGCTGGTGATCATTCTTTACTGAAAAAATTAATAACCAAAAACACTGTCATAAAACTAAAAAATATTAAATCAGATGATCCTAGCTTGATTTGTGACTTTATATATATAATGATACGATTCTTTGCCTAGTAGATCTCTTATTTGATACAATGAACATAGTCCTAAACATCAACTAAGATCCCAAGGTGATTTATACTGCCGATTAAAATAGTATATCAAGCTTATGCCCCCTCTGGTCTGGGTTCCTGCAAACCAAGCAATCTCAATAAATGATTACTCTTAAGAGAAAAAAATATATTTTACCAGATTTAGATTCCTTTTAATATATTACTCTCTCTCAATTAAAAACGGAGGTTATGTATAGTCAGTCTTACTTCAATTCATGATGGGTGATTTAAATCTACAAACAATTTGTCATTCCCAATTAATTATATTCTAAGAAAAAAATATAAATCAAACTTCGTAGAGCATGTTACTTGATTTTTGCTTCAAGATTGCTGTATTTTTATATTTGGAGTTTGGGACGGAGCCAAGAATTTTGCTCATAATGGGAATTTTAATTACGCACGCTAATTTGTTTCCTCATAATCAATCACACTATATAATATATTTGATACATGAAGTCTATTTAACATAAAAAAATGTCAAAAAATAATATATATTGTAAAAAATGGATATAATTGTCATTTTTATAATTAAAAAATATCAATTATTAACTAACAACCCATTAAATTTATTCAATAAACGATGTTCCAAACATTATCACTGAAATATTAGAGTAGTAAAATTACTAAACTAAAATTTAAGAGCTAAACATAGTAAAAAAATTGAAAATCGATTGACACATGGTAATAAAAATAGAGATGATTTCTTGTAGAAAAAAAAAAGTAAAATGAATGTCAATTGCCAAGAACTTTCACTCATAAAAATTTAATACAATACAAAAGACTAAATAATTGAAATAAGAAAATTAAAGGGTGGGTACAAGTAACAAATATAAATATGAATATACATATAATATTTTTAAAAAAAAAATTAAGGTTAAGACATGCCTACCCTTGCCCCTATGCCTATGTAGCTTCGTCCATGTTTGGATTGTCTTCAATAAAAAACCAACCAAGAACGAACTTTTATATATATATATATATATATAGTGACTCCTCCTTCATTTTATGATGGATAATGCAAAAATTGAAAACAAAAGTATAACAAAGCGTATCTGGATCTGATGTTGTGCAATATTGTGAACAACGAGTATAGGATTGTCTCGGATTTTTCGGAATAATAGGTTTATAAAATTCGGCATTACAGTGAGAAAGAATGATTGGTGGGAATATACTAAATTTAAACGTACTTTCTAATACTAAGATAGTATCAAGAACACCAAGTACTCAGAATGAGGTCATTGGGTTGGGAAGGCCCATTTTCACAATCGGACTTCGTGAAGGCCAAAAAAAAATATCGTGGAATTTAATGTGATTCCAAAGATAATGAATGTGTATGGAGAATTTATTAAATAAACTTCATTTTCTTATTAGTTAATTCAACTATTTTCTTGGGTGATATGTCAAATCATGAAAATTTATTTATTTAGTGGCGGGGTTCACGACATCGTCAAAGTGATATCATGACCCGATCACTAAAAGAAGTGCATGAAAATAAAATGAGAATTGATCTCCCCTTTACGAGGATTAAATGTATCAATTTCACTATATTTTTCATGTTCTAATGATAATGTAATGAATCTAGTTTATAGAACAATTTCTCGCAAGTTAAACAAACTTTCTTTGATAGCATTTTTGTAGAGCAAATGGTTTGGTTTGGTTTTACAGAGTGGGACTTAAAATGTGATGTGGTAAATGTGGTGCCTCGTACTCCCTTATGAAAAATTCATTAAAATTTGAATGTTTGTGCTGTTGTGCATTTTGGAGGGTGAAGTCTGATCCCTTCAATACATTTTTTTTTGGCGAATTACTTACCATGTGTTCAAGTAAAACCTATTATTTAATACAAGCGAGTGTCTCACTTCTTAATAGTAGACAATTAATCAAAAAAAATTTAAAAAAATTATATTTAAGGGAATATGAATCTAAGCAGGTCCACTCATCTAATTTAATAATTAAATTGTTGGGCCAATAAATACGCAAGTAACCGACTAAATATTGGGTGTCACCGTTAAATGACAAACCTACAAATTAATATAGTGAACCCAACTTTTATATGCATGCTGATTTTTTTTTTTTTACATGAAGATGATAATTACTAAATTAAATAGGATTTATTTACTTTAATATTAATTTATTATTTAGTTAATAGTAATTTTTATCTTTAAAATATGTACGTTTTGTCAATTTGATCTCTTAAGTGTTAATTTTATAAATTTAATGCTTAAATTATTCAATTCGTGTTTAAATAGTCCTTACATAGTAAGACCGTTAAATTTTTTGATAGAATAATCACGTATTAGTCACATGATATCATTTGGAAGAATGATACGTAGTTGTTTCGGCCATAAAATTTAATAAATTATTTAATTAAGGATNTTTACATAGTATGACCGTTAAATATTTTGATAGAATAATCACGTATTAGTCACATGATATCATTTGAAAGAATGATACGTAGTTGTTTCGGCCATAAAATTTAATAAATTATTTAATTAAGGATCAAAGTGAAACAAATTAAAACTTTACAAGTCAAATTTATAAAAATACTACAATGAAAAATTAAATTGACAAAACGGACATATTTTAGACAGTAAAAATACTATTAATTTCAATATTTTCTGGCGAAATCGGGGGCATGAAAGAGCATGGCGGCTCAAAGTAGGCTTAACATTGTAGTCGCTCTCCCNTACATATTTTAGACAGTAAAAATACTATTAATTTCAATATTTTCTGGCGAAATTGGGGGCATGAAAGAGCATGGCGGCTCAAAGTAGGCTTAACATTGTAGTCGCTCTCCCTTTTTCACACGAATAGGTAACTGGCTTGTCATTCATGATTGGAGCTCACGGTTCGTAATTATAGAATTTTTTGCTTTAGAAAATAAAAAAAACAAAAACCTCTAAACCGCGTCAGATACGGCATACGAGGGTATTTTAGACAATTCAAACATGGTTGAAAGCGAACCCTAAGGCGACTGGCCGACCAAGTGGCTCAGGTGTACAGAAAACCCAATCTCACCTTCACATTAGCGCGTCGCATTCACTTTGACCAAAATATCCAGTTACGGGTATATTTTCCCATTTAAGAGATCATTTTCCGTAAAATTGTTATAGGAAAATATTACACAACTTAAATAAAATTCAAAAAATGTAACTTAAATGTATATCATCCTTGAATGAGTGAATCACACTAAAAAAATTGATAAAATTCACTCATCTAAATAATGATATACATTTAAATTATAATTTTTTAAATTTTATTTGAATTATGTATCATTACTCAATTATTTGATCCACCATAAGTGCATTACTTGTNTTAAATTTTATTTGAATTATGTATCATTACTCAATTATTTGATCCACCATAAGTGCATTACTTGTTAATTAAAAAAAAAATTTACTTGCTAATATTCTAAGAAAAGCAAACAAAAATTTATTTAATTCTATAATAGTTTAAATGATACTATCAAGAAATAACTCGATCAAATAATTATTTGTACTACTAGTTCATACTATGTTGAGCCCATCTTGTGTTGAAGCATTGTGTAAAAATTGTCAACTCTATTTGATAATAATAGCTAAAATTCTTGTCAATTTCTATAAGATAGTGAAGCTAAAATAATTTAACATACCCCATTATATGTCATTGAATGCAATTAATGATCATTGCTTTCGTTGTTGGACTTAAAAATCACAAATTTGAACCTCGAGTTCCCATCCATTTTAATAGTACTCAATAAAAAAAAAAAATTGTAATCGATGGTGTCTCAAAAATTTAGGCCCAAGCCTAGGGTATGTGAGATTTCTAAATCCAATGTTTAAGTGGGTTTTGTAGATTGAGTTTTTTAATCAAATAAAGAACAAGGAAGATAAGTGGTTCGTCTTAGTCAATAAACCGAGGGTACGTCCACTGTAATAGAATCTCTTGCTCTTTTTAATTGTGTATTGAGTTTCTGTTGATTATAGTCGAGTTACAGACTCTGGACCGTTTTTAGGGAGAATATGTTTTATCCCAGAGTTTCTATTTTGTTTCTTTTTTTTTGAGAAGTCCCCTTTCTTAGTAAGGCACTGTTATTTATATATGAGTCGTTTCTCTTAGGGTTCCCCGTGGTATCTCCTGCCTTTTTGTTGATCTTGTGGAGACCTTTTATTCTTGTCCTGCAAAAGTCTTTCTTCGTCATTCCCCTAGTACCCACGATCTCTAGGACCTTAAGCTCCACCATCCTTTATGTCCGAGAATGCGCAACTGCCGCTGTTTCAGAGATGATACCCTTGTCCTATGGACACGTGGCATGTCGGGGTTGTTTAGGGGCGAATGATTCGTTTCTTCCTTGACTATTATTAGGCTGATCCTTGATTGGGCCTGGACTGAGCTTTTATCTTTCTAATCCCCACTGGATTTTTCTCGGTTTCGTTGGGCTAATATGGGATATTCTTTCTGGGCCGTGATATTTTTTGGCTTGTAATCATGGCGGCTCCTGCTCAAAATTCCACCCTTATCAATAATCTATAATATAAAATATGATAGACTTCAATAAACTTATTCGATAGTCTCAAATAAATTCATCTAACGATCATCAATATCTCTCTCAAAATCATTCACATTGAATTTTATCTTCGTCTCTTACTCTTCACTATTCCTCTTTGAGATCTTCACTTCTCACTTTTCTAAATAAACTAGTTGATTTACGTTGTATCGTGCCTTCAAACACGAGTTATTCCTAATATTTTATAAAATTGAGTTTTACCTTCCTCTCCTCACTCTTAAGTTTCTCTCTAAGATCTTTACTCATCACTTCTCCAAATTAATCAATTTATTTATGTTGTTTCATATCTTCAGATATAAGTTATCTCTAGTTAAATTTAAATTGAGAAGCTCTGGCATGAGAATTGGGCTTTGAGTTTTTTTCTAACTTTGACCCAAACTCATAAGATGAATATTGAGATAAAAAAACCAATGTAATGAATAATCAAAGAGCTTAGATGTGACGAACTTATCACGCAAACTAAACCATTGGATACTTAGATATTGTGAATCAAAATATGTATATTAAAATTTGGGCTAAATTCACAAAATGTATACTTACGTAGTATTTTTTGTTTTTTTGTTTTTATTAAATTACAAAAGAGTGTGATGATATTGAAAATATATTTAGTGATTCGCTTAACCACTCAAACCCAAAGATGGAAATCAATGCATAGAAGCTTTTCCTATTTAATATTGGGAACAGCTTTCAAGAGAGAGAAACATAGCACAGAGCTTATAAACATTCGAAACGAAACACAACGCATTCATGCTCTCTCTCTCTCTCTCTCTCTCTCTCTCTCTCTCAGTGAGTCAGAGTCACCATAATTGAACCAAAGTCTTGACAACAATTGNTATAAACATTCGAAACGAAACACAACGCATTCATGCTCTCTCTCTCTCTCTCTCTCAGTGAGTCAGAGTCACCATAATTGAACCAAAGTCTTGACAACAATAGAAGAGAAACAGACTCATCGTAGCAGTTCACACTCACATATCCCAGGTATGAAAATCAACCCAACTTCCCATTCTCTCTCTCTCCAATGTCTATGCCTCTATCTATACCTCTTACGTTGTGTTTGTGAATTGTTTGTGTTTTTTAAGGTTACTATGCAGCCTTGTAGCAGAGAAATGCAAGCCCTGAACTCACTCCTCAACCAGCAAGACCTCCAGAACGGTCAACAGCAAATCTCCAACACCCACCAGATTCATCAATCTCACTTCGATCCGACCTCGTCTCACGACGACTTTCTCGACCAAATGCTCTCTTCTCTCCCTCCCAGTTCTTGGCCCGACCTCCCCTTCGCTTCAAATCCCATCGGCTCTCTTGCCGCCGGCCACAAACTCCAAGACCTGTCGGACCAGTTCGACGATCAGTCTCAGTCTGCTTTGTTGGTTTCCAAGCTCCGTCAACACCAGATCAGCGGCGGCGGTGCCGTAGCAGGCAATTCTCCGGCGGCAGCGAAGGCCTTCTTGCTTCAGCAGCAGTTACTACTATCCAGAGGGCTTTCTGCCGGTGGACTCCGGTCGCCGACCGGAGCCGGAGATTCCGGGATTTTACAGATGCCATTGAGTCTGGGTACCGGCGAGGGTTTTGACGGGTCTCAGAACAACGTCGTCGATGGTTCCTCTTTCAAATCTCCCAATCTGGTTTATTTCTTCATCTTCGTTGTCACAAATTAAAAAATTACATCTAATTTCAATATAGTTCTTGTGTTTTTGTACAATTTTTCAAATAATTACTGAGCTTTGATGATAATTTACAGGGAGGTGAGGGTTCAGTTGAAGCTCTGTACAATGGGTTTTCCGGATCTCTTCATGGAACCGGTCAAGCTTCGAGCCAAGCTCAGCATTTTCACCACCCTCAGGTCTTCATAAATCTGTAAAAATGTGTGTTGTACAACTGTAATTTTGATACTAATTGGGGGTTCTTGTGATATTATAGGTACAGAATTTTGGAGCTCCAGCAACGGCTATGAACCAGGCACCGCCGGCGAGTGGGTCGGCTGAAGGAGGAGCACCGTCGCAGCCCAGACAGAGGGTAAGGGCTCGCAGAGGTCAGGCCACTGACCCTCACAGCATCGCCGAACGAGTAAGCCCCACTACCCTCCCATTCGTACTAGTCTTTTGTCCTTGTTTTTTTGTGTTTTTGTTTTGATTGTTTTGGGGTTGTTTGCTGTTGCCGAATTTTGTGATTGGCGATGGAATGTGGCAGTTACGGAGAGAGAGGATTGCAGAGAGAATGAAGGCTTTGCAGGAGTTGGTACCCAACGCCAATAAGGTAATTTCACACTATTAATTTAATAAAATTAAATAGTTATCTTCTCTCTAATGTCAGTTTAATCATATAATTAGGGTAAATAAAAGTTCATTAATTGGGTAAATTATGATACAGGGAAAACAAAGAAGCTTTACTGTACATATTGTTAGCTCTGTTTTTTTTTTTTTTTTATTGCAACTCACAACCATGAAGGTAATAGATATGAGTTCAAATATAAAAACTTGGGTTTTAAATGGATTAACCTATATGATTTGTTTTGATAGATGGGCTAATGAAATCTTCATTAAGTATCATTTATAAAAAAATTGGAAAATAGAAACAACCAATTTTTTTATGCAATTGCATCAAGTCATTGTCTTTCTTAATTTGATTTTTACCCAAAAAAAAAATAAAAATTGGGGTAATTTGTAAAAACTATGACTATGAGGGGCATGTTTGCAATTAATATAAGTATAGTTAGAAATTTTCTCTTTTGATGACTTTCACATATCTTATACTCTCACGTGCTGTAAATACTTAACAAGGTCACACTGACGTCAATGTGGACACATGTCCGCATGTGAGTGCGAGTATGATTTGGATATGTTTGGTGACTCGTATAGGCATGTATATTATATCTTTCCGTGCGTACTTGAAAGAAAAGCTGGAAAAGCAGAAATATTAATATGGGTGGTCCGAATAATACTTGCTTATTAATTATATCTTATTATCTTTATAAATTTTCTTATGATTATTTTAATTTTGAAGATAATATAAATTTGATTAGTTCATTTGGTGGGTTACGGAATGACAGACAGACAAGGCTTCAATGCTGGATGAGATCATCGACTATGTCAAATTCCTCCAGCTCCAAGTCAAAGTAAGTAACTCACTCTCTCTCTCTCTCTCTCTCTGTTTTTTATATTTTAAGTATTCTTGCTGCTTTTAAATTTTAAAATACAGAGGATTCCCTGGGTTGACAAATTGTGATGGTAAAACTCAATTTTTTAATCGATTGTATAAAATTGGCTTTTTGCCATTACTAATTACCTTAAGGTTTTCCCTTATGGGCATCTAAAATGGGTCAAATTAAGCTCTACAAAAAATACCGAGTACTGTGTTTTTTTTTTTTCATTAATGCTTGTAAAATTATTTTATCCTATTATATTTTATTATTTTGTTAATAAAGGGTCACAAATGAACCAAAGTGAAATTTATAATTAAAAAATATTTGTTGGGATAGTACCAACTGCTTTATCCTCCTGGAATTCCATGGTTTATTTTTCTCTGTGAATTTGTGTGTGTTCAGGTTCTGAGCATGAGCAGATTGGGGGGTGCTGCGGCTGTTGCTCCACTTGTTGCTGATATGTCCTCTGAGGTAATTACACTTTATTACCAAATTATGGAGGTAGGTGTGTGTGTGTGTATGCATGATTGTCTATCATTAGCTGCATCCTCAGTAATTTGGAAAAAAATTTGGGTAATGATCCCATGACATCGATCATTACCCAAATTTGGTTTAGAACATTAATTTTGGTAGAAGCCCAGGAAAGTTATTTGAAGATAATATTTTCGTTTTTTTAAATTAGAGGGAACTGTTACAAGTCGACACCGATGCAAATAAAAACTAGTTGAGTATGTTCATTTATAGAGTTGAACTTAGTGACTGGCTAAATTAATAACTTGAAGTTGAATAAAATGTTTCAAATTTGTCATGATCTACGACTAATTTTTATCATCTTTACGAACTAATTAATTCCAAATTGGTTTGATTCGGTTAATTTGCACCCTTACTAGTTGATATAATGTAAAATTTCCTTCAAATTAATAACTATCCCCCTTTGGAAAAAAAAACCCACCACCACCAAACCAAAAAACCCAAAAGAAGCTAAAAAAATTAGCAGAGTTTTCATAATCTGGTATAGGAAATGTCTTAGTAGAAAGCTAACCTGTTGAGTTTTCCATATAAGGATACAGAGACAGAAGCAAAAGCATTCTCGTAAAAAGCTTTAAAAATGCCCAAATAAACCAAACCTTCCCAACCCCACAACCCTCTCGATTTCTCTCAATCACCACGAACACGACAAAACTAAAAAGGAGCACGCGTGCCCACTTTCCAGATTCCAACCCCCAACTCCCGGTCCCTCTGCTCCTACTAAAGTTTTCCTCTACTTCCGCTCCTTTTTTCCGTTCTCTATCTTTTTCATTTTTTTTTTAACAGTTAGGTGTTTCTAGGTTAATTTATATAAATTTTAATTAATTCTTTTTCTAATTCAATAAAAAATAAATTATTTACACAAAATTATAATATTTATAAGAAATAAATCTTTTATAACATGATTCTAACAAATTATCAAGATTTTTGTTTGCACAACCCATCACTGATATGTCTTGATAGATTAAATATTCGCTTGATGTTTATGCTAACGAAATTAATTAAAAAATTATCCAATTTTACTAAAATTAATGTCATACAATATTAAGATACGAAAGAAATAAGATTATCAGATGTATTGGTTACATAATATTAGTTAAACGTGTCTGCCCATGTGCGATTAAAATTCTATGATTCTTGTGGGTGTTTTTTTTATTTGGGGGTATTATTTAGGGAAGTGGTGACTGTCTACAGGGAAACGGTGGACGGAGCTGCAACGCAGCCCAAACGGCGTCGTCATCAAACGACACAATGACGGTAACGGAGCACCAGGTAGCAAAACTCATGGAAGAAGACATGGGCTCCGCCATGCAATACCTCCAAGGCAAGGGTCTCTGCCTCATGCCCATCTCTCTCGCCACAGCCATCTCCACCGCCACGTGTCATTCCAGGAACACCATCGCCACCAACCCACTTCTCGGATCCAACGGCGAGGGTGGCCCTTCTTCTCCGAGCATGTCGGTGTTGACCGTCCAGTCAGCCACCATGGGTAACGGCAGTGGTGACGCTTCCGTTAAGGACGCCACGTCTGTTTCAAAGCCGTGATCACGGCGTTAACTACTGTCAACTCTAATCTCTTTTGGCGGAAGTGAAAGTCGGGGGTTTGTTAAAGTTTCAACGGCCGTCAAGTCTACGAAAATAGGGTTCTCTTTCTGTCGTTTTGACTATGGTCCACACGACGCCGTATTTTCGTAGACTTGGCTTAAGCAAACTGTTTTTTTTTTTCAATAATGTCATCTAATTTTGAGACTAAATCAAAAGCCTAAATAACATCACGGTTAACTTTAGCTTCTTTATTTGGTGTTATATCATTTAGGACCCANTTCAATAATGTCATCAAATTTTGAGACTAAATCAAGAGCCTAAATAACATCACGGTTAACTTGGGCTTCTTTATTTGGTGTTATATCATTTAGGACCTAATAAAGACTCTAAATAATATACTGTTATGTTATTTAAGCTTTTGATTGAGTCTCAAAATTTGATCAGGATAGCATTATTATTTTTTTTTTCAAGCTTAGCATAAGATAACAACAGCACCGATAACTACCCGAGTTACTGAACTGTTTTTTTTTTTGGTTTATTTTCAGATGAAAATTGTTTTTTTTTTTTCCCCGTCTAGGCCTATCTTGTTTTAATGAAATGTTTAATATGATGACGCGTTGTTAACTTGTTATGATGGGGTTATGAGCTTACTTGATCGACAGATATTATTATGAAGTATAACTACAATGAAAATTAAGGATCCAGTGGAACTTAATCCCTTTTACATAAGAACGAGATATTCTTTTTATATTTTTTTTTCGATGGTAGATCAATTATAATGAATTATTATAAGATCCACAATTTATAAGTTGTCATTATGATAATTTTTAATTAATTTATTAGAGAGTATTTTGATGACATTTCTCCCCCCAGAACCTCGCTTGTCTCGAGGAATTCTATTTCCACGAAAATATAAATTTATTATTGAAAAATGACACAATGTGACAATAGTGATATAATATCACCATTACACCGAGGGGTAATATTATTTGGATCTAAAAATTTGATCTAATTTTTTGACATAATGATGTAATTTAAACAGAATTATTAGATCAATACCAAGTTTTAATATTTGATGAGCTTCACAGTCAATCTAAATATCATAGTAAATTAGGTCAATAAATTAAATTATAATAACATTGCCCTTATACCGAATATTTGTTCTATTGCCACCAACCCACTAGTCGAATCCAACGGTGAGGAAGGTCCTTAATCTCCGAACATGTCGGTGTTGGGCGTCCAGTCAGCCATGATGTGCATCGGCAGAGGAGACTCTTCTTTTGTCAAGGAAGCTGCTTCCGTTTCGAAGCCGTGATCACGGCGTTGACTACTAGGACTTGGGATGGGAGTCTTGTTTATGGCTTTTTCTATGGTTTCAACGGCCGTCAAGTCTACCAAAATAAGGTTTTCCATGTCGTTTTGTCTTTTTTTGACTTTGGACCACACGACGTCGTATTTTCGTACATTTTTTTTTCTTTTTTTTTTTAAAATAAAATATATATATATACTTTTAGTTGAAAATTATGTTGTTGTTTTGTTTTGTCTTCTTTTCCAACTTGGGCCCACCTTATTTTAATGAAACGTTTAATGTAACGATGTGTTTTGTTATGGTACTTTCGTGAGCTTAAATGATTATGAATCATACAAAATAAGGAAATTAAGGATCTCTAGACCTTAATTCCTTTTTATCTATCTCAATCTCTAATACACATTTTTTTAATGATTGATTACTTATGATGTATTTAAGTAGAATTTAGTAAATAAAAATCGAACTAATATAATTGCACGTTAACAATTATATGCTTGAAATTCTATCATATTATCTATACAAATTAGATTAGATGTCAAATATTGCACAAAAATAGTTGATTCTCAACAAATCAAAGCTATATCATGTTGGTCGAACTTGAGTTTCAAAGGATCAAAATTCCATTAAGAAAAGGTTAAATGCTGACCCATATTTTGAATAGTATTTAGTCATGTTTCTTCACCTTAACTTTGATTTATTGTCATTGGCATTATGTAATTTTTTGTTGTTTGGTTCATTTGTTTTTATAATTTTAATGAAGTGGTCTTTTGACCCCCAAGAAAAAGACTCATCACATACTATTATATTCATGTAGTATTTGGGTGTTAAGTCAACGGGTCCTTTTGTATCTTAATTTCCTGCCAAACAAGTAGTAGTAGTAGTAGTAGTATTAGTGGTAGTGGTGTTGGTCACGTTAATGGGTTGTTGCTTGGGATTAAAAATTCTCTAAAGATAATCTTTTTTTTTCTTTTTAATAATATTTTTTCATATAAATTATTTTATATTAATGACATTTTCAAAAGATCTTCTTGTTATGGAAAAAAGAGCCTAATGTGACTGTTTATGCATTGGAATAATTCCATTGGAAAGAGTTAATATTATTGTTAAAGCGTCCTAGGCTCTACCTATATGATGTATGATATGATTCCGAGCGAATTTCATATGAAAACGTATAGAAGGGGACTCAAATCTCATAAACATGGTTAATTTTTTTTTTTGCACATATGAATTTGAGCATCAAATAAAATACTAATGTTCTATTTGGTACAATAGAAAAATAGAATGATAGATAAAATATCATATTTGATAAGAAAAGAAAATAAGAACGATAAAAAAGTGAATGAATGAGCTTTCTTTCCAACTCACCAAAATCAATCCTTTCAAAATTAGAAGGAAAGTGAATAGAAAATTTAATTATTTGTATTAAAATGAATATTATTTGTTTATATATCCTTAGATATATATATATATATATAGTTATTGCTTATGGCTAAAAGCACAAAGTAATAAAAAATAATAAACAATAAACATATTTATATTCATATTTAAAATTAAATTACAAATACAAAGAAGAAATAATTAAATTTAAACATCAGTTTGTAGTATGGGTGATAAGTGGTGGACAATAAGAGACGGTGATGATTTGTGGTGGGTGGCAATAACCTTGGTGGTGGGGGGCCGATGACGATGGTGGTGGGCGGCAGTCGTTGTGCTGCTGGTGGTGGGAATGGTGGTGGCGTTGTTGGTTNTTATACCGAATATTTGTTCTATTGCCACCAACCCACTAGTCGAATCCAACGGTGAGGAAGGTCCTTAATCTCCGAACATGTCGGTGTTGGGCGTCCAGTCAGCCATGATGTGCATCGGCAGAGGAGACTCTTCTTTTGTCAAGGAAGCTGCTTCCGTTTCGAAGCCGTGATCACGGCGTTGACTACTAGGACTTGGGATGGGAGTCTTGTTTATGGCTTTTTCTATGGTTTCAACGGCCGTCAAGTCTACCAAAATAAGGTTTTCCATGTCGTTTTGTCTTTTTTTGACTTTGGACCACACGACGTCGTATTTTCGTACATTTTTTTTTCTTTTTTTTTTTAAAATAAAATATATATATATACTTTTAGTTGAAAATTATGTTGTTGTTTTGTTTTGTCTTCTTTTCCAACTTGGGCCCACCTTATTTTAATGAAACGTTTAATGTAACGATGTGTTTTGTTATGGTACTTTCGTGAGCTTAAATGATTATGAATCATACAAAATAAGGAAATTAAGGATCTCTAGACCTTAATTCCTTTTTATCTATCTCAATCTCTAATACACATTTTTTTAATGATTGATTACTTATGATGTATTTAAGTAGAATTTAGTAAATAAAAATCGAACTAATATAATTGCACGTTAACAATTATATGCTTGAAATTCTATCATATTATCTATACAAATTAGATTAGATGTCAAATATTGCACAAAAATAGTTGATTCTCAACAAATCAAAGCTATATCATGTTGGTCGAACTTGAGTTTCAAAGGATCAAAATTCCATTAAGAAAAGGTTAAATGCTGACCCATATTTTGAATAGTATTTAGTCATGTTTCTTCACCTTAACTTTGATTTATTGTCATTGGCATTATGTAATTTTTTGTTGTTTGGTTCATTTGTTTTTATAATTTTAATGAAGTGGTCTTTTGACCCCCAAGAAAAAGACTCATCACATACTATTATATTCATGTAGTATTTGGGTGTTAAGTCAACGGGTCCTTTTGTATCTTAATTTCCTGCCAAACAAGTAGTAGTAGTAGTAGTAGTATTAGTGGTAGTGGTGTTGGTCACGTTAATGGGTTGTTGCTTGGGATTAAAAATTCTCTAAAGATAATCTTTTTTTTTCTTTTTAATAATATTTTTTCATATAAATTATTTTATATTAATGACATTTTCAAAAGATCTTCTTGTTATGGAAAAAAGAGCCTAATGTGACTGTTTATGCATTGGAATAATTCCATTGGAAAGAGTTAATATTATTGTTAAAGCGTCCTAGGCTCTACCTATATGATGTATGATATGATTCCGAGCGAATTTCATATGAAAACGTATAGAAGGGGACTCAAATCTCATAAACATGGTTAATTTTTTTTTTTGCACATATGAATTTGAGCATCAAATAAAATACTAATGTTCTATTTGGTACAATAGAAAAATAGAATGATAGATAAAATATCATATTTGATAAGAAAAGAAAATAAGAACGATAAAAAAGTGAATGAATGAGCTTTCTTTCCAACTCACCAAAATCAATCCTTTCAAAATTAGAAGGAAAGTGAATAGAAAATTTAATTATTTGTATTAAAATGAATATTATTTGTTTATATATCCTTAGATATATATATATATATATAGTTATTGCTTATGGCTAAAAGCACAAAGTAATAAAAAATAATAAACAATAAACATATTTATATTCATATTTAAAATTAAATTACAAATACAAAGAAGAAATAATTAAATTTAAACATCAGTTTGTAGTATGGGTGATAAGTGGTGGACAATAAGAGACGGTGATGATTTGTGGTGGGTGGCAATAACCTTGGTGGTGGGGGGGCGATGACGATGATGGTGGGCGGCAGTCGTGTGCTGCTGGTGGTGGGAATGGTGGTGGCATTGTTGGTTGTGGTGGTGGTGACGACAACTACGGTGGTGGTG